AATGATGTAATAATGCCTTTAAAAGGGTCTGCGCACCCATTTTCTGTCAGAAGCCATTAAACTTCTCCGAAGTTCTTTCATTACCCTGAACTTTGTGTCTCAGTGTGAATTTACTTCTGCGTGCACGCAACTTTATTATCTTTAATTTGGACAGGAACAGATAGTCATTCAAACTAATTGGTTTGCAGTAAATTATCTACTACAAATTGGCGCTTCCAACGTGGGGCTCTGGGCTATGTCCTGCCTGGGCAGCTGTCCAAGAAGACGCTGGGGGGGCTGAATCCTGGGGGAAGGAAAAGAGCCTGATCACCTCTGAGTACACGGTAGAGATTGCTGCAGCACCTTGCTGCAGCACCTTGCCGGTATGCTCCTGCCCCTGTGATTGACCTATCCCAGTGTCTGTGACTGCTGCCGAGAGGACATCAAAGTCAGGTAATAACTTGCCCAGAGTCTTTGTATTGTTAATGATACCTAGTTTACCTGCATGTTGACTATCTGTTGCCTGGGTGTGTTTGTATTGGTTTGTGTTTAACTTAGTACCCGGGGAGTGTAAGTGCCTGTTTAACTCCTTTTAGGAGCCATGTGGCTGTGGCTGTAAGGAAAAAGAGTAGGGGGAATCTGTGGAGGATGATGTAGACTCACTGCTTTCTGGGGGTTCCCCATAGTGTTGCTTTGGCGGCTTAGCTAGCCTCATCGGACACTTCTTCTTGGTAAAATTCCAGCCTCGAGCGCTGAGGCAGGTAAGATTCCAATTCTTTAGGCTATACAGGATTCGGGTTGGAAGCTGTTGCTGTTTCCTGTGGCTGCTGGTAGTGAGACTTGCGGGTGGGTCCGCAACAGGGACACTACGAGGTTGAGGGAGGTGGCTTTTGGCCACACGAGTAAAGGCAGGGGATAAAACTGTTGAACTTATTTGAACTGTGATGCATGCACTGTATTTTATTTGAAATGTTGTCTTAATTGTCTGTCACACAGATTCCTGTGTTTACTTCTATCTTACTCACTGTACTATTTACACTTTCCCCTCCTATTTCTCTTTCTCTGTTGAGAGAAGTGATTGGTCACACACTTCTCGCCACGCTCCAATCCGCGGCTACCACGGGTAGGCGGAATCAGTGACTAGTCTACGTTTTGGGAAGACGTACTTAAAGAGCTTGCTCTTAAAGTAGCAGTCGAGCACGGTAGACGTTCTGTTCCTTTCTCTCTCTATATCTGGGACGCCTTATATAGGGAGGATGGGACAGAAGTTAGATAAACCCAGTAAGGGTTGGTTAGCATGTGATCTAGTGGAAGACAGAGAAGGAGAAGAGATGGTTAAGAAAGTGAGGAAGATTGCTAAAGTATGTGGAATTACCGTACCTCCGTGCGGCAGATTGTAGCCAGAGAGCTGGCGTAAGTTACTGACAGAGAAGAAAGGGAAGCTGTCGGACCAAGATTTGGTTCGTACAGCAGAAGCCTGATACCGAGTAGCAAGAGCTATTCAGCAAAAGGGATAGGTTGAGGAAGATATTGATCACAAAGGTTTAAGATTGTTTGTGTATTATAATAATTGTGTTACTGGATGCTGATGGATCCCTATTCTCCCCCCCCCCATCAGTCCTACAGATCTCGTCACCCTCATCCTCTCTCTGAAGCTCCCTGCACCTCCAGTCCGTTTCTCCCGTCAAAGATTTCTGGTTTCCAAACGTATAAGTCTCTGTCCTTCTGTCTTGTTACTTTCCAGCACTCACATGGTTAATCTTCATGCCTGCAGCTTCTCTCCCTTTTTTATTTGCACTGTCTCAGATCCCCCCCCTTTCCTCCCCGCTTGCCTCCGAATGGGGGAGGTACATGCCTTCTGCATTTCGGAGCTGCTGATAAGAGTTAGAGACGGGATTTTTGCTGGAAAATATTCTAATTCAAAGGTTATGGTGTTATAATTGTGTAATAATATTATTATTGTTGCCGTTTGCCATATATATATATATATATATATATATATTGTGTTTTGTGATAAAGTAGTGAGGATTGTGGGGGAGACACAAGAATGTAGCTCAGTGTTGATTTACGGAGGTAAGTGAATCTGATACAAGAATAGAGGAATATTTGGACGTGTTAAGTGTAAAGGCAAGCGTGATTTGTTGCAAAACTATGCAATGTGGATAGAGGGAATATGCGGAGTTAAGCTAGTATGTGAAGAGGAAAGTGATTAATGGTTTGAGGAAGATAAGGGAATTTGGTTGAATTCCGCGAGTTTATCTTGCATCATTTTAAAGAACATGTTTCTAGAAGACAGCTGTATGGGCTGTTAAATGCATAATGTTTTCAACTGTCTTATTTAACCTGCCAGGTCTGTTCGTAGTTTAGTATTTCATTTTGCAGAACGGAATGTTGCTTCTCTGACTTATTTTAATAGTTATAATATAGTGTATTGTTGAAAGTGCATCAGCCACCACCCTAAAGATGGCGCCTAGTACAGAAGGAGGTTGACCCTGCCAGTCCCGTGACCTATCTACAGTCACGGTTGCTTCTAAAGTGACGTCACTTCCGTCCTTACCATGCCCACACCTCCTGTCTTCCTTTCCCACACATATCATGGACGTCACCCCTCTCACTTCCTCCCTTGCTGTCATTTCCTTCCCCGCCCCTGTCATGGCTGCCTCCATCATGAGGCCTACCCCTATCATGCTCGTCCTATTTAGAGACATGTTGTTTTCCTTACACTTTACATATTATGGACAGAAACATTATAATTACTGAAACAATCATGCCATTTGTTTCCCTGTATCAGAAATTTGTCCGTGTTATAAAAAAAAAAGAAGGCTGCTAAAATATAATTTGCAAATGTGGTGTGACCTACATATGAGATCTGTTGGACACGAATATAAGAGCATAACAGCTGATTATCCAGATTAATCTTGCAACAAGGGAAATAGCCAAATGATGCAAGTTATTTTAAACATTGTATCTTTGCTTAATCGAATCTTGCTACTTACAGATAGTGATGTACCGAACGGTTCGCTGGCGAACGGTTCCTGGCGAACATAGCATGTTCGCGTTCGCCACGGCGGGCGAACATATGCGCGGTTCGACCCGCCCCCTATTCGTCATCATTGAGTAAACTTTGACCCTGTACCTCACAGTCAGCAGACACATTCCAGCCAATTAGCAGCACAGCCTCCCTAGCAGACCCTCCCACCTACTGGACGGCATCCATTTTAGATTCATTCTCAAGCTGCATGCTTAGTAAGAGGAGGGAAAGTGTAGCTGCTGTTCATAAGATAGGGAAAAGCATAGCTAGGTTAGGGATAAGGGTATGCTTTTTTTTTATTTATTTTTTCTATGTAATGTAAATGCACTTAGTTGTCTGCCACTGCTGCCAGCTTCTGTGTCAGGCTCACAGTGCCCATTTCCCCAGTCAGTGCCACCAATTACATCTGGTGTCACAATAGCTTGGATTTAAAAACAAAAAACTTTTTTCACTGTTATAGATTGAATAGCAGTCAGTTGTCTGCCACTGCTGCCAGCTTCTGTGTCAGGCTCACAGTGCATACTGTGCCCATTTCCCAGTCAGTGCCACCACTTAGATCTGGTGACACAAAGCTTGGATTTAAAAACAAAAAACACTTTTTTCACTGTTATAGATTGAATAGCAGTCAGTGTCCTTAAAGCGGGTGTGTTACGCTAACAGTGGATACGGTGACCAGTGCCACCACTTAGATCTGGTGTCACAATAGCTTGGATTTAAAAAAACAAAACACTTTTCACTGTTATAGATTGAATAGCAGTCAGTGTCCTTAAAGCGGGTGTGTTACGCTAACAGTGGATACGGTGACCAGTGCCACCACTTAGATCTGGTGACACAAAGCTTGGATTGAAAAACAAAACACTTTTTTCACTGTTATAGATTGAATAGCAGTCAGTGTCCTTAAAGCGGTGTGTTAC